CTAGCAAGGAGATCGGGCTGAAACTATAGCTACAAGCTATCCAAGGATGGTACTATAGAATGTCACCTCAAGGTAGGCCTAGTGGCGTCATCTCTTGGTTAGGCCGGAAACTTATCAATCCACCCTCGTAGATAGTTCTGTTTTGAAAAATAAATTAATTGCTTTAACGTCAGCATTTTCTAAACATACATATCGATAGACGCACAAAAATTGTTGGAATTATACATTTTGCCTAAAAAGTAATTTGATTTTCCATTCTGCTGATAGAATACTGACATTTCATAAATTAAAATTATCAAATTTTGCAAAAATAATTTTACATGTATGTAGAATGAGAACTGTATTCAATTTTTTTTTCACTTACCCGTTGAATGGGTTGCCTTTAGGTAGATAGATCTCCTGAAATACAAAAAAAAAATAGTTTAAGATCTTATTTTAATTCTCCAGACACCAGCTATTTGTTTTCAAAGCCATAAAGAAAGACTTCACCAAATGTAATTTCTAAGCGTGCTTTATCGTAATAATTAAGAAAATTTAAAATTATAGCAAATGTATAACAAGTGCTCCGTTCGTAACCTTGCAATTTCATATCTATCCTTACCATTGCGAAATTTTGACTTTTGTGGTTATCGTTATTCTTCGAGGTGAAAGTCGCAAAAATGATCACAAAATTATTTTCTTTTGTTTTTAATAGACCAAATTAGTTAAATTCTAACACCCCATACATTTCACAATAGAGTTACATGTTTAATTTTAGAAAAATTAGAAGTCTTGGGGTCATCATCATCATAAAGCGGTCAATCTTAAGACTAGTTGGACACGCACCTCCACTTTTTCCTATCTTACATCCTTAACTATTTGTGAACAGTATTCTAATCCAGGTCTAATCCAGGTCTACCTCCACTTCTCTTAACTCCTGTTTCTACTTCTAAGTATATTGTTAATACAAAATTTTATTTTCTGTTTTTATATTTTCATTATTTCTACTGTATCAGAAGTTAGAATTTTGCGAGAATCATACTTGTAATAACTCCTGCTCGTGGTCTTGCATTTGTTCAATTAATCTTGGTCAGGTGTATGTTTGGAGCGCGGCGTTGTACGGGAAACATGGACAGTGGGCACGGCGGAAAAGAAAATGTTAGAAGCCTTCCAGATGTGGTGTTATAGGTGAATAATGAGGATAACGTGGGTAGAAAAGGTTAGAAATGAAGAGGTATTAGATAGAATAGGAGAACAGAGGACTCTATGGAAGTCAATAAAAAATAGNGGCCTAGTGGCGTCATCTCTTGGTTAGGCCGGAAACTTATCAATCCACCCTCGTAGATAGTTCTGTTTTGAAAAATAAATTAATTGCTTTAACGTCAGCATTTTCTAAACATACATATCGATAGACGCACAAAAATTGTTGGAATTATACATTTTGCCTAAAAAGTAATTTGATTTTCCATTCTGCTGATAGAATACTGACATTTCATAAATTAAAATTATCAAATTTTGCAAAAATAATTTTACATGTATGTAGAATGAGAACTGTATTCAATTTTTTTTTCACTTACCCGTTGAATGGGTTGCCTTTAGGTAGATAGATCTCCTGAAATACAAAAAAAAAATAGTTTAAGATCTTATTTTAATTCTCCAGACACCAGCTATTTGTTTTCAAAGCCATAAAGAAAGACTTCACCAAATGTAATTTCTAAGCGTGCTTTATCGTAATAATTAAGAAAATTTAAAATTATAGCAAATGTATAACAAGTGCTCCGTTCGTAACCTTGCAATTTCATATCTATCCTTACCATTGCGAAATTTTGACTTTTGTGGTTATCGTTATTCTTCGAGGTGAAAGTCGCAAAAATGATCACAAAATTATTTTCTTTTGTTTTTAATAGACCAAATTAGTTAAATTCTAACACCCCATACATTTCACAATAGAGTTACATGTTTAATTTTAGAAAAATTAGAAGTCTTGGGGTCATCATCATCATAAAGCGGTCAATCTTAAGACTAGTTGGACACGCACCTCCACTTTTTCCTATCTTACATCCTTAACTATTTGTGAACAGTATTCTAATCCAGGTCTAATCCAGGTCTACCTCCACTTCTCTTAACTCCTGTTTCTACTTCTAAGTATATTGTTAATACAAAATTTTATTTTCTGTTTTTATATTTTCATTATTTCTACTGTATCAGAAGTTAGAATTTTGCGAGAATCATACTTGTAATAACTCCTGCTCGTGGTCTTGCATTTGTTCAATTAATCTTGGTCAGGTGTATGTTTGGAGCGCGGCGTTGTACGGGAAACATGGACAGTGGGCACGGCGGAAAAGAAAATGTTAGAAGCCTTCCAGATGTGGTGTTATAGGTGAATAATGAGGATAACGTGGGTAGAAAAGGTTAGAAATGAAGAGGTATTAGATAGAATAGGAGAACAGAGGACTCTATGGAAGTCAATAAAAAATAGGCGAGATAGGTTGGTAGGACACCTTCTGAGACATGAAGGTCTAGTCAGAGACATATTGGAGGCAGAAATAGGAGTTAGGAGGGGTAGAGGTAGACCTAGGTTAGATTACTGTTCGCAAATAGTTAAGGATGTGGGTTGTTCTAGTTTTAGAGACCGAGCGGCATGGGCTAGAGGTCTAGACCATTGCTTAGCATTCGGGAGGACGCCAGTTCGATTCCGGGTCCGTCTGCCTTGGTCCAAGTTTTTCTGTGGTTTCCTTGGATCACTTAGGCAAATTCTGAGGCAGTAATATTCCACAGATAATCTTTCACTCTCTTCTGTCTTCATTTCGTCCGTCTCATCTTTCTCACCCGAACCACCACCCGCCCATTCCCACGATTCCTGAAAGCAGGCTGAAGAGGGCCTTCCGCCCTACTTTCCGGCATAGTCCGGAGGGACAGCCCGCCCACCAGCATTAATGGCTGGTGGGAATGAAACACCCAAAAAGTTTAAAAAGGTCTAGTTTTAGGGAAATGCGATGTTTAGCTTAGGATAGGAAACAGTGGAAGTACGTGTCCAACCAGTCTTAGGACTGACGACCTTATGACGATGATGATGGTCGTTGTTATTAGTATTACTAAATATACAAAACCAAGACAAGCCAATACAAAACAAAAACCAAGACTATTTTTTCTAATCACACATTTCTATAAATACATATAACAAGTAATCATTTTTTTTTTAGGCAATATGATGACTCTTTCGTACAATTTTGGTCTGACTGCGGGTTCATTGATGGCATATTTCCTTGAATCAGGACTGAGTCCGGTAGAAGACCACCCCTGCGGACCAAATCCCCTTCATGTTAAACCAAATTACATCTTCAATGCCACAGCAAGCACAATCAGTCTGCTAATATCAACATTACCGTTATCAACAACCGTACCACTTACATCAACAATATCAACTGTAATTTCTCAAAACATATCGAGTGTTAATGGAACTCTTGATATGCGTTAGTTAATTACATATAAATGTAGATAGGTACTCAGTGCTGTTGCTAATTTTTAAATACAATGTACATACATACATACGTAAAATACCTAAATAGGTACTACCAGCCTGTGGTAAAAAATATAAAAATAATGAAATTATTATTGTCCACTATTATCGTATTGGCAAATTAATATTGGAAGTATAGTACATGGTCCCCACGAGAAGTGGGCTAATTGGATATATACCGTCTTTAGGAGGGGGGTTTTTTTATAGGGGTCGTAGTCCTGGACCTCATAAATATGGGACCTCGTTTCTATAAGTAAGATTATTTTTTTCTAATTTAAAAAAATTTAAATTATACCGAAAATTAAACACTGTATGACTAGTTAAATTAATAATAAAAATTAAAGGCTATATTTATAACTATAATTGTATACCTAGTTAATTATAATTGTCTAACGTAACCGTTTTAATAAGTAATAGCTTATTTTATAACAACCGAAGACAAGAAAACTGGCAATTAAATGATCATCGATAGAAAATAAACAGCCTTAATCTTAAGGGGGCCTCTCTTCAAATTTTAGACCTGGGCCCTGCTTCATATAAATATTTCGGGAGTTACAGTCTAAAAGCATCTCCTACAATTAGTTACTTACTATTCTTACTTTTTTCACACAGTATCTCCCGAAAATTGTTAAAGCTGACGTTGGATGGGGTTATAACTTAGGAGGGTACTGAGCAGCGTGGGGGGTCAGCCAAACCGCCACGAAAGAAATTTCTGAACAGTTTATGAAAAATTATTTAAAATGTCTTTACTTTTTATAAAATATAGATTTATATAAGTTAACACNAAATGAAGAGGTATTGGAAAGAATAGGAGAACAGAGGACTCTATGGAAGTCAATAAAAAATAGGCGAGATAGGTTGGTAGGACACCTTCTGAGACATGAAGGTCTAGTCAGAGACATATTGGAGGCAGAAATAGGAGTTAGGAGGGGTAGAGGTAGACCTAGGTTAGATTACTGTTCGCAAATAGTTAAGGATGTGGGTTGTTCTAGTTTTAGAGACCGAGCGGCATGGGCTAGAGGTCTAGACCATTGCTTAGCATTCGGGAGGACGCCAGTTCGATTCCGGGTCCGTCTGCCTTGGTCCAAGTTTTTCTGTGGTTTCCTTGGATCACTTAGGCAAATGCTGAGGCAGTAATATTCCACAGATAATCTTTCA